AAGTCAAACAGATGTATACATACCTGTGTAGTGGCCCATTTGTAAATGAGTGGGCGAGTAAAGCAGTAGAAAACTCTATCCAGCAGCCTAAAAGTGTCAGACTCTGACCGGACCAGTGAAGATGTAATGTCCAAACAGTAGCTCATTGCATCGTGACTGCCTGTGTGGGTGAAGGCCAAACACTTGGGTAATTGTATAATTGTATATGGTCAGATTTGTTGATCAGAATGTTATCAATAACACACACACACACACACACACACACACACACATATATATATATATATATATATATATATATATATATATATATATATACTGATATAGATATACATATCTCCAAAATGATAACTTTACAGGTAAAGGAAAAAACCTACTTTACCTTTAATGTAAGGCAGTGGAACCAGACAAAGTCAGTTTAGGTCATTTCTTTTAATTCATTCATCATGAAATTTACATATAATGTAAAGGGTAACATGAGGTAATATGAGGTTTTCTTCCGACAACATATATATAAGTGCGTGTGTGTGTGTGTGTGTGTGTATTTAAGTATGAAAGCAGTTAGATTTTTGTCATTTCACTTTGACCAAACAATGTAAATGAATGGCTTTTCATACAACTGTCCAGTTAATGTGTTTATATAAGAAACAGACATTTGATCTTAAAAAAAATAACTTCCATAGTGACAAAATGCTGGAATACAAGTATGTGCTCCATGGTTGTGATTGTGCAACCCACAGTTATTAAAAGTAGCCTGTAGGAAATAATAAAGATAACCTATAAAGACACAATAAATGTCAGCTTGTCACACATATGCGCAGAAACCCCAGAAATAAGTGAAATTGAGCGTCTTGTCTTGTCCTACCTGGAATGGCTAAGCTGCTTAAAGGAATGTCCCACAGTTCTTCAGGTATAGTTGACATCCAGTCCTCATTGTCAGAGTCACTCTCTGAAATAGGCGCCATCGACTATGTCTAATAGTGAAGTTAAATAAGCGTCCGAGACATTTGCAAGAGTATTTCGATGTAAAGTGAAGCTACACTGAAAGCAAAGCGGTGGTAGGTCGGTACATTTAAACTCTGGACCAGTAGATCCTGAAGGAGGAGAATAACCTGCATTGTCCAGCCACCCTGAACACTTTTCAGTTCAGAAATCTGATCAGGAATACCTTTTTGCTGATTAAGAATACTGAAACAAAATGGGCCGAGCAGGAACAACGAAGAAGGCAATGCAATATTTCCTGTTTCTCTGCCTGTTTTCGAGTTGGAGCCTTGCTGTGACAGGTTAGCGAGCGTTAGCTGATCTGGGAACAGGTTAGCCTCCTGTCTTAGACTGCCAGCTGTAGGACACTATCAGAGCAGTCGTTTGTTTTTCTCGTGAATGTGAAGAAGTGTCTAAAGGACACGTGTTCAGAGGTAAAGACGTCACCAGAGAAGAACTGTCCTTAGGGCAACTGTGTCAAAAACCTCTCACTCAAAAGGTGAAGCACGGAGCCAACAATATACCATAATAATGTTTTTAAAAGTAAAACATAACGTCTGGTTTCATATTGATACACTGCAAAAAAAAACCCGACTTGCTAAATGTTAGGCAAATGTAAAAAATACAGTTGGCCCAACTTTTTCATGATAATTTAACTGACGCAATAACCTATAGTGAGTTAATGTCTGTCTCATAGCAGTCACGCTGCATCAGTAGACAACTTCCAGTTGATGCAACGTTTTTCTATGAGTTCTAGTACCTGGGCGGTTCTACTGCTGAGCAAACTGACACAGTAGCGTCCAACTCATTATCTATAAACACGGAGCTACATAAAAGAGTAAATCAAACCCAGTGTACAAAACTACAAACTCTTTAGTTTATGTTGTAAACTTAGCTGATTTCCATATAGTAGGCTGGACATCAGCTAGATGACGCTATCTAACATGCTAACGGGCTAATAACGCAGCTAACATGCTAACGGACTAATAACCCAGCTAACATGACGAGTCAGACCGAGCTCGGCTGCTGTCCGGCGGTCTTGGCTAAGAGTTTTGGCACACCGGACTCGGGACAGGTATGGGTGAAGCTAGACAACTGATGTTTCAGCAAAAAATTAAAGGGTAGATTCCACCTATATTGAGCAAGATTCCACCGGAATTGCGGCAGATTCCACCTGTATTGAGGCAGATTCTACCCATACTGAGGTCCGAGCTGTCACTAATGCTCCACTACAGAGGCGGGAAGCGCGCGCTTAGAGCAGCTTCTGGAAACTTCGGAAGGCTTCAAAACGGGTCTATTAAGTAAATACTTAGTTTATTTGATGTACCAACAGTTTTTCAGTCAGAGTTAGGTTTACTCAAACCCAGTCCTACGTTTGTTATGATTTGTTAGTTGAAGTCTTTATGTGTCAAAATGAAAATGAGCATCACTTGGTAACAGTCAGTTAGCTCGTTGTTATCTGCTGTGGTAGCAAGACTACCGAGTGACCTCTTTTAGATGAATGTTTGCTCTCACAAAACAAGACAGAAGATGAAATAATCCCATTTTGACTTGAGATGGTGTCGAATTTATATTCTAATATAGCTAGCTATATTTTACTAAACTGGTGTGTACAGTTGTTAGCTAATAACTAATTTCGCTAGCGAGATTGAGAGGTAACGTGTTAGCACAAGCTTAGCTAATGTTAGCTGGCCAAGTTAATATCTCCGCTGGAAAGCCGGCTCAGTTCTGGCTAACTGACTAATGAATAAAGACACCTGAACAAGAGACTTTGAGTGAGAGGTGTTGGAGTGAGAGAAAAGGAGAAACTAAGCAGGTTCTGTGATGTCTGGGGTTGTTAGCTTGCTGGCTAGCGGGCTATTGGCTTCACACAACACAGACCAGTTTAAGTGCTTCAATTACATGAGTTTTTATAAAATTATATATATATTATGCATATTTCCATGTCACCTCAAATTGTGGAATGAAAACATTGAGAGTTAAGGTAACTTAATGAAAAGTTAGAAAAATAAGAGAACTATGGCCTCCTGTTTCATTCAGAATTGGTAGCTAACATTTGTCAGTACAATGTGGACCAGAGTCTGCCCACTTTTAAGGATGGAGGCAGCAGCCTTTGAGCTCGACTACAGCAGATTGTATTTACTCATCTACCTTCTTCACTTCTCTAGAGTTTTAATGACATATATCTGCTTCCATGGTGGATCACCATCTCTGTGTTGGTCCTGGTTGGGGTCTTGATCATTGATGAACGAGGTGAAAGGATCAACAAATTATGCAGAGAAACAGATCAGCTACATTCTGCAATTGCAGAACTACAAAGTGCACTTACACATTAAATGGACCTGATTAAATGGAAAATAAGCATAAATACAAGGTACCGACAATTAAAACAATTGCTTTAAAATGTTTTTTTTTTCTACTTTAAAAGTTCATGTCTGTTCATGTCCACATACTGGTGAATTCAGCTGAGCTTTAAGAATTGTTAAATTTACAAGACATGATACAGTACATAGTGGCTTAATGTATGACATTATGTTCTTAGAACTGTGGCAGATATTTGGTTGCTCAGCTGTGATCACCTGTGTTGTACTACCTCTTTTATTTCTATACACGTTCACGGTTTTAGTGTAGAGCTGGACACTAACTGTGTTCTTTAAGTTTAATGACACAACTTAATATTCCTTAGTACTGATTTCCAATGAATATTTTTAATTAACTTCAGAAAGCTTTGTTTAATGAGCGAGAATGTAATGGTTACAGGACCTAAATAAGGAATAAACGATCGTACAACTCAGAGCTTTGCTCAAGACCAGTTATACTTCTGAGTACCACAAATGTTCTCATGATAGCTCAACTAAATATTTCTTTTGGCATTTACAAAAAATGTCAGTCAGTGTAACTAATAATTTGCAAAAGTTGAGTGAACAAGAAAAAAAAAGGGAAATTCTGTACCATTTTTTTTGTTGTGCAAGTTAAAAAATCTTTACAGTGTAGGAGTGTATCAGACACAGCTGTGCTGTGGGAGATTTTACACACCTCACTGTCAATGCTGCGTTGAGAATAGTCCACTAACCAAAAACATCCAGCCAACATTGGCCCTGTGGTCAGAAACTGACCGCTGATGAAGGGCTAGAGGATGACTGACACAATGTGCATGCAAAAAGATGAGCTATAGTATCCAAATGTAAATCTCATCTACAAAGAGTACCAACAAAATAAGAACCGTTAGTGTGCATTGTCTAAACTGCCCGTTTCATGGAAAACTGATTTTTCTTTGTTGTTGTTTTTCTCTTCAATAACAGAATTTTAATTTTTATTATTTGAGTTTTATGTTATTTTTTCAGTTCCTAATTCTATTATAGGTGTTTTTTGACCAGATCCACACCAGCTAAACTTCTTTCTCTAAACAAAACTTATTTTGCAAATCCAACACCTTATTGCAAAAGAAGGGGGTCCATTTAAGGGTCCACTTGGATGGGATAATAGTGTTGAATGCCGAGTTGTAGTCAACGAACAGCATTCTCATCTTAAAGACAAAAATCCCCTTTTCTTAGCATAATCACACATTAATGCAGCACCAGACTCTCTCCACAAAGGTTTTCTATCCAAACTGGTTTGTAATTGAGGTTTGTATTTTAATAATTGATATTGTTAATCATCATCATCATCATTATGATATTGAAATATTTAACTATATTTCATATAATGATACGTAACAAACTACTAATGCATATAAATTTTAATAAAATCTAATGTAATAATATAATGAGTATGTGAAATAACTGTCCTGTTCTGTGACCCCTTTCCATTTTTAGTAACGCCTAACATACTCAACTCCTCTACTGCTCAGAAACGCTCCACATAATGCTAATGTAAATATTTGGTAGACAAAAAATGACTATGAAACATGCAGATGAGCTATTTTTATTGATATCACAAGAAGATTCTGAGTAGGTGCTCTGAGTGGATGAACCTCATGTCTGTCTGCGCTCCACTCTGTAAGGGCTGCTGGACACTGAAGAGCTTCCTGAGCACTGTTTAGAGATGAGGGACAGAACACGCAAAGTTCCATGTTAAAATAACTGTTAAACGTATGAATAAATATATTTAGAGTTTGACGTTTTCTACTTAGTTTTCTGTTACTGGAAATACCTGAAGAAAAAAATAGCTGCAATGACTGGGAGACTTACCTCATTAACAAAAAGACTGAGAATCTTCTGGAAACTTCGGACTTCTTCTACTGTGGAGAAAAGGATATTAATGCAGAATCAGTCTGAGAGGTGGGTGGTTTCTGAGAGAAGGCCTGGTGGTGAGAAGATGCTGTTAGGACACTGAAAAAGCCAAAAAAAGAGAAGAAAAAAAATGATCATGAAGCTGAAGTGAAGCTGAAAGGCCTTGTGTTGAGAAGGCAGAGTTTGCAACTCTTAAAAAACTACAGATTGTTTTATTACCTAATGAAAGTGTAACTTCATTATCTGGCAACCACCTCCAATGAACCTATGCTTTACTCAGTGATTAAACTACACTATCAAACAAGAGAAGTAATGAATGCTTCTTGAACAGGTAAGAAATACAAAACAATCTAAAATGTATTTCAAACAAGTTTTGAGGAGCTCCTTGTCCACAAATCTGAGAAAAATTACAGACTGGTTCAATGGTGCAGTTATACCATACCCAGATTTCCACTATTATTTAGAAAAGTCAAAATACAAATGTAAAAATGAATCGTACATAATAAAGTGGCACAGATTCATATGAGCACAGCTCACTGAAAAAGGCCAGAGAACACTTGTTCTAGCCTGCTGGTACTAAATTAGTACAAATTACATGATTTGCCTCAGAACGGATTTGCCTCTTGTTCTCTCAACAACACCATCAAATTCAAAGTTTACCCTACCAAATACACTCAGTGTTCTTTCTGGAACCCGTTCTCAAATAAATATACTTGAAACGCTTTGTAAACATAACTAACTCGCCCTAATTGAAGTCTTAGAACTTAAACTCAGATACTTACCATTTGGAATGGGTATATTCTTGGTCCTGTTTACGGATGGCACAGTCGCTTAATCTGCTCTTTTTCTCCATTTCTGTAAAAAGAAGAGAAAATCTGCATTTGAAAAAACCACAGTGCAACCACAAAACAATACATCTTTTATAGAGTAAGGAAGTAAAGAACTGTACTAGAGTCTGGCGTTCTGGAGAATAATTGACACAGAAGTAAAATGAATTAACTAACCTTAAAACTGAGCTTTGGCATCCTGATCTTCGGCAACCAGAATCTGCTGAAACACTTGAAAACAGACGGTTGTGGCCTCGGACTGTTCTCACACTTTTCATCTGTGTTTATCTGAGTCTCTGAGGCCGGTTCCTCTGCTTCTGGCTCCTGGAAAGACTGAAGCTGCGAGCCAGGTTCCTCATTCTCCTCACTGTCTCTCACATTAAAAGGTGTGGTGGGCTCAGCGAGGGATGATGTTGGGAGTTTAGGCTGCTCTGGGCTCAGTGCTCCTCCATTTAGAGAAACAGACCAGCTGAATCCTTGGAGATTCTGTTGCTCTCTGGGCTTGTCTTGCTGCTGGTCTTTATTATTGTGTTGGTTTCTGTTAAAGGCCCTGGTTTCTCCAATAGGCCAGGAGGGCTCAGTGAGGGATGAAGATGCTTCAGGCTGCTCTGGGCTCAGGACTCCTCCGTTTAGCTTTTCTTGCTCTCGTGACTCGTCCTGCTTCTGGTCACGTGTCTTCTGTTGGTTTCCATCACTAAAGGCCCTTTTTTCTACTTTGTGGTGCAGCTTTTCCCCTCTCTGCATCTTCATGTCCATCTGTTCCCTACAGTTTAGGACTGTGAGGAGGTTAAAAACGTGTAAAAAATCAAAATAACCATCACGATATTTCCTTTCTTCCTCTCTTTTTCTTTCTCTCTGTGAAATTCTCTCCTTCATCATCTCCAGTCCTCTCCTCAGTTCTTCTTCTCTCTCTCTGGCTTTTCGGTTCTCCATCCTTCTCTTCGATAATATATCTTTCATTTGTTTCAGCTCTCTCTTTAGAGCTTCCTCTTTTTCTATGCAGCTTTGAATCTCTAACTTCTGCTGCTGAAGTCTCTTCTTCAGATCTCTGATCTTCTTCTTCTGAATCTCTCCCACTCCTATCATCTCCTCTGTACAGGCCTCTCTCATGCAGTCCTGTCCACTCTTCTACAACACAAAACAAGCATTTGTCATGAACACTTTTTTGTTTACCAAAGCAAACTGGGCAAATCCAGAGTCCAAAAGGAAAGTGACTGAATTCATCTTGGAATAAACAGCTTTGGGATGGTGATCTCTGTCTATTCAAGCTGGATTAGTTTTGTCCGGAGTGGTAGCTTCTGGAGGTAATTGAAGTGATTACTGATGAGATCAGGTCGGCACAAGTTAGCAACGTCCATAGTTTTACAGTCTAACAGTAATAACTGTGGAGTACATGACCTTAATAGAGCTTCCTCGGTAATACTAGTCCTCTTCTAATCTACCTCACTGTAAAGTGATAAAACCTGCTAACACACACGTCTGTGTGACATGTTTTTATTTAGTATTACGCTGAACGTCACATTCAGGCTCTGATGTTTTAATCGAGACCCTCTGTGATAATTTAGGGAAATAACACTTTATCCTGTAAAAAGCTGCTTGTTAAATTACTTACAGGTTACATTACAGACCTTCTCTACTAAAATTAGTCCAGCTTGAATAAAGCTTAAGTGTCTTTAAACTTTTGCCAGTCATCATCAGTAGTATGGTGAATGAGACTATGTGTCTTACCTTTCTAGTTGATGTCTCACTCTCTCTGTTTTGCTGCCTCCTCCCCTCTTCCAGCTTCCTCTGCCTCTTCTTCTCCTCTTCATTCTTATGGGGGATGATTTTCCTCCTACGGAGGCAGCTGCACCAGCAACCACAGCCTGTGGGACTGGGTGGCGATTGCTCGTCTTGGTTTGACTTCATTGTGTTTTCTGAATTTGGCTTTAAAACCAAAATTCCTGGATTAATATATAGATAAAGAAATTGGTTTCAGGTTACAATTAGGGATATGTTGAAAGGTTAAATTACAAAAATGCAATATATGATGATATATATATATATATATATATATATATATATATATATATATATATATATACACACACACACACACACACACATCACTGCTGTTGGAATGAAACCTTGCATCTCCAAAATGATAACTTTACAGGAGAAGGAAGAAATATACTTTCATTTTAATATATGTCAGTGGAACCAGACTTTTTCTCCAAGTAATTGGGCCATTTCTTTTAGTCCATTCTTCATGAAATTGACACACAATGTAAAGAGCATGCATTAATGCATAGAAACCGCTTCGTTTTTAAATATATATATATATATACACACACACACACACACATACACACATCTATATATTTATACACAAACACTAATTTCTTCACTCAAGCATTCTGTGGCAATATAATATGACTAAGGTGGAGCTTCAGGGCTTAATATTTAATTTAGTTGCCATTTTAAAAAGGCTGTATAGGAAGCATAAAGAACTGTGTGTTCCTTGGTGTGCCACTGCCATTGAGGAAGCTTTCATTTGAACTTTTCCTTTCATAGACACTGTGGGAAAGCTGTACAGAATTGTGATGTAATTGTGTGTTTCCCTTCAATAAGTCAAACAGATGTATACATACCTGTGTAGTGGCCCATTTGTAAATGAGTGGGCGAGTAAAGCAGTAGAAAACTCTATCCAGCAGCCTAAAAGTGTCAGACTCTGACCGGACCAGTGAAGATGTAATGTCCAAACAGTAGCTCATTGCATCGTGACTGCCTGTGTGGGTGAAGGCCAAACACTTGGGTAATTGTATAATTGTATATGGTCAGATTTGTTGATCAGAATGTTATCAATAACACACACACACACACACACACACACACACGTATATATATATATATATATATATATATATATAATATATATATATATATATATATATATATACTGATATAGATATACATATCTCCAAAATGATAACTTTACAGGTAAAGGAAAAAACCTACTTTACCTTAATGTAAGGCAGTGGAACCAGACAAAGTCAGTTTAGGTCATTTCTTTTAATTCATTCATCATGAAATTTACATATAATGTAAAGGGTAACATGAGGTAATATGAGGTTTTCTTCCGACAACATATATATAAGTGCGTGTGTGTGTGTGTGTGTGTGTATTTAAGTATGAAAGCAGTTAGATTTTTGTCATTTCACTTTGACCAAACAATGTAAATGAATGGCTTTTCATACAACTGTCCAGTTAATGTGTTTATATAAGAAACAGACATTTGATCTTAAAAAAAATAACTTCCATAGTGACAAAATGCTGGAATACAAGTATGTGCTCCATTTTTGTGATTGTGCAACCCACAGTTATAAAAAGTAGCCTGTAGGAAATAATAAAGATAACCTATAAAGACACAATAAATGTCAGCTTGTCACACACATGCGCAGAAACCCCAGAAATAAGTGAAATTGAGCGTCTTGTCTTGTCCTACCTGGAACGGCTAAGCAGCTTAAAGGAATGTCCCACAGTTCTTCAGGTATAGTTGACATCCAGTCCTCATTGTCAGAGTCACTCTCTGAAATAGGCGCCATCGACTATGTCTAATAGTGAAGTTAAATAAGCGTCCGAGACATTTGCAAGAGTATTTCGATGTAAAGTGAAGCTACACTGAAAGCAAAGCGGTGGTAGGTCGGTACATTTAAACTCTGGACCAGTAGATCCTGAAGGAGGAGAATAACCTGCATTGTCCAGCCACCCTGAACACTTTTCAGTTCAGAAATCTGATCAGGAATACCTTTTTGCTGATTAAGAATACTGAAACAAAATGGGCCGAGCAGGAACAACGAAGAAGGCAATGCAATATTTCCTGTTTCTCTGCCTGTTTTCGAGTTGGAGCCTTGCTGTGACAGGTTAGCGAGCGTTAGCTGATCTGGGAACAGGTTAGCCTCCTGTCCTAGACTGCCAGCTGTAGGACACTATCAGAGCAGTCGTTTGTTTTTCTCGTGAATGTGAAGAAGTGTCTAAAGGACACGTGTTCAGAGGTAAAGACGTCACCAGAGAAGAACTGTCCTTAGGGCAACTGTGTCAAAACCTCTCACTCAAAAGGTGAAGCACGGAGCCAACAATATACCATAATAATGTTTTTAAAAGTAAAACATAACGTCTGGTTTCATATTGATACACTGCAAAAAAAAACCCGACTTGCTAAATATTAGGCAAATGTAAAAAATACAGTTGGCCCAACTTTTTCATGATAATTTAACTGACGCAATAACCTATAGTGAGTTAATGTCTGTCTCATAGCAGTCACGCTGCATCAGTAGACAACTTCCAGTTGATGCAACGTTTTTCTATGAGTTCTAGTACCTGGGCGGTTCTACTGCTGAGCAAACTGACACAGTAGCGTCCAACTCATTATCTATAAACACGGAGCTACATAAAAGAGTAAATCAAACCCAGTGTACAAAACTACAAACTCTTTAGTTTATGTTGTAAACTTAGCTGATTTTCATATAGTAGGCTGGACATCAGCTAGATGACGCTATCTAACATGCTAACGGGCTAATAACGCAGCTAACATGCTAACGGACTAATAACCCAGCTAACATGACGAGTCAGACCGAGCTCGGCTGCTGTCCGGCGGTCTTGGCTAAGAGTTTTGGCACACCGGACTCGGGACGGGTATGGGTAAAGCTAGACAACTGATGTTTCAGCAAAAAATTAAAGGGTAGATTCCACCCTTACTGAGGCAGATTCCACCTATATTGAGCAAGATTCCACCTGAATTGCGGCAGATTCCACCTGTATTGAGGCAGATTCTACCCATACTGAGGTCCGAGCTGTCACTAATGCTCCACTACAGAGACGGGAAGCGCGCGCTTAGAGCAGCTTCTGGAAACTTCGGAAGGCTTCAAAACGGGTCTATTAAGTAAATACTTAGTTTATTTGATGTACCAACAGTTTTTCAGTCAGAGTTAGGTTTACTCAAATCCAGTCCTACGTTTGTTATGATTTGTTAGTTGAAGTCTTTATGTGTCAAAATGAAAATGAGCATCACTTGGTAACAGTCAGTTAGCTCGTTGTTATCTGCTGTGGTAGCAAGACTACCGAGTGACCTCTTTTAGATGAATGTTTGCTCTCACAAAACAAGACAGAAGATGAAATAATCCCATTTTGACTTGAGATGGTGTCGAATTTATATTCTAATATAGCTAGCTATATTTTACTAAACTGGTGTGTACAGTTGTTAGCTGACTAATAACTAATTTCGCTAGCGAGATTGAGAGGTAACGTGTTAGCACAAGCTTAGCTAATGTTAGCTGGCCAAGTTAATATCTCTGCTGGAAAGCCGGCTCAGTTCTGGCTAACTGACTAACGAATAAAGACACCTGAACAAGAGACTTTGAGTGACAGGTGTTGGAGTGAGAGAAAAGGAGAAACTAAGCAGGTTCTGTGATGTCTGGGGTTGTTAGCTTGCTGGCTAGCGGGCTATTGGCTTCACACAACACAGACCAGTTTAAGTGCTTCAATTACATGAGTTTTTAATAAAATTATATATATATTATGCATATTTCCATGTCACCTCAAATTGTGGAATGAAAACATTGAGAGTTAAGGTAACTTAATGAAAAGTTAGAAAAATAAGAGAACTATGGCCTCCTGTTTCATTCAGAATTGGTAGCTAACATTTGTCAGTACAATGTGGACCAGAGTCTGCCCACTTTTAAGGATGGAGGCAGCAGCCTTTGAGCTCGACTACAGCAGATTGTATTTACTCATCTACCTTCTTCACTTCTCTAGAGTTTTAATGACATATATCTGCTTCCATGGTGGATCACCATCTCTGTGTTGGTCCTGGTTGGGGTCTTGATCATTGATGAACGAGGTGAAAGGATCAACAAATTATGCAGAGAAACAGATCAGCTACATTCTGCAATTCCAGAACTACAAAGTGCACTTACACATTAAATGGACCTGATTAAATGGAAAATAAGCATAAATACAAGGTACCGACAATTAAAACAATTGCTTTAAAATGGTTTTTTTTTCTACTTTAAAAGTTCATGTCTGTTCATGTCCACATACTGGTGAATTCAGCTGAGCTTTAAGAATTGTTACATTTACAAGACATGATACAGTACATAGTGGCTTGATGTATGACATTATGTTCTTAGAACTCTGGTAGATATTTGGTTGCTCAGCTGTGATCACCTGTGTTGTACTACCTCTTTTATTTCTATACATGTTCACAGTTTTGTACTGTAGAGTACTGTAGAGCTGGACACTAACTGTGTTCTTTAAGTTTAATGACATCTTAATATTCCTTAGTACTGATTTCCAATGAATATTTTTAATTAACTTCAGAAAGCTTTGTTTAATGAACGAGAATGTAATGGTTACAGGACCTAAATAAGGAATAAACGATCGTACAACTCAGAGCTTTGCTCAAGACTAGTTATGCTTCTGAGAACCACAAATGTTCTCATGATAGCTCAACTAAATATTTCTTTTGGCATTTACAAAAAATGTCAGTCAGTATAACTAATAATTTGCAAAAGTTGAGTGAACAAATTCTGTACCATTGTTTTGTTGTGCAAGCTAAAAAATCTTTACAGTGTAGGAGTGTATCAGACGCAGCTGTGCTGTGGGAGATTTTACACACCTCACTGTCAATGCTGCATTAAGAATAGTCCACCAACCAAAACCACTCAGCCAACATTGGCCCTGTGGTCAGAAACTGACCGCCGATGAAGGGCTAGAGGATGACTGACACAATGTGCATGCAAAAAGATGAGCTATAGTATCCAAATGTAAATCTCATCTACAAAGAGTACCAACAAAATAAGAACCGTTAGTGTGCATTGTCTAAACTGCCCGTTTCATGGAAAACTGATTTTTCTTTGTTGTTGTTTTTCTCTTCAATAACAGAATTTTAATTTTTATTATTTGAGTTTTATGTTATTTTTTCAGTTCCTAATTCTATTATAGGTGTTTTTTGACCAGATCCACACCAGCTAAACTTCTTTCTCTAAACAAAACTTATTTTGCAAATCCAACACCTTATTGCAAAAGAAGGGGGTCCATTTAAGGGTCCACTTGGATGGGATAATAGTGTTGAATGCCGAGTTGTAGTCAACGAACAGCATCTCATCTTAAAGACAAAAATCCCCTTTTCTTAGCATAATCACACATTAATGCAGCACCAGACTCTCTCCGCAAAGGTTTTCTATCCAAACTGGTTTGTAATTGAGGTTTGTATTTTAATAATTGATATTGTTAATCATCATCATCATCATTATGATATTGAAATATTTAACTATATTTCATATAATGATACGTAACAAACTACTAATGCATATAAATTTTAATAAAATCTAATGTAATAATATAATGAGTATGTGAAATAACTGTCCTGTTCTGTGACCCCTTTCCATTTTTAGTAACGCCTAACATACTCAACTCCTCTACTGCTCAGAAACGCTCCACATAATGCTAATGTAAATATTTGGTAGACAGAAAATGACTATGAAACATGCAGATGAGCTATTTTTATTGATATCACAAGAAGATTCTGAGTAGGTGCTCTGAATGGAAGAACCTCATGTCTGTCTGCGCTCCACTCTGTAAGGGCTGCTGGACACTGAAGAGCTTCCTGAGCACTGTTTAGAGATGAGGGACAGAACACGCAAAGTTCCACGTTAAAATAACTGTTAAACGTATGAATAAATATATTTAGAGTTTGACGTTTTCTACTTAGTTTTCTATTATTGGAAATACCTGAAGAAAAAAATAGCCGCAGTGACTGGGAGACTTACCTCATTAACAAAAAGACTGAGAATCTTCTGGAAACTTTGGACTTCTTCTACTGTGGAGAAAAGGATATTAATGCAGAATCAGTCTGAGAGGTGGGTGGTTACTGAGAGAAGGCCTGATGGTGAGAAGATGCTGTTAGGACACTGAAAAAGCCAAAAAAAGAGAAGAAAAAAAATGATCATGAAGCTGAAGTGAAGCTGAAAGGCCTTGTGTTGAGAAGGCAGAGTTTGCAACTCTTAAAAAACTACAGATTGTTTTATTACCTAATGAAAGTGTAACTTCATTATCTGGCAACCACCTCCAATGAACCTATGCTTTACTCAGTGATTAAACTACGCTAAAATGTATTTCAAACAAGTTTTGAGGAGCTCCTTGTCCACAAATCTGAGAAAAATTACAGACTGGTTCAATGGTGCAGTTATACCATACCCAGATTTCCACTATTATTTAGAAAAGTCAATAAATGATATCGTACATAATAAAGTGGCACAGATTCATATGAGCACAGCTCACTGAAAAAGGCCAGAGAACACTTGTTCTAGCCTGCTGGTACTAAATTAGTACAAATTACATGATTTGCCTCAGAACGGATTTGCCTCTTGTTCTCTCAACAACACCATCAAATTCAAAGTTTACCCTACCAAATACACTCAATGTTCTTTCTGGAACCCGTTCTCAAATAAATATACTTGAAACGCTTTGTAAACATAACTAACTCGCCCTAATTGAAGTCTTAGAACTTAAACTCAGATACTTACCATTTGGAATGGGTATATTCTTGGTCCTGTTTACGGATGGCACAGTCGCTTAATCTGCTCTTTTTCTCCATTTCTGTAAAAAGAAGAGAAAATCTGCATTTGAAAAAACCACAGTGCAACCACAAAACAATACATCTTTTATAGAGTAAGGAAGTAAAGAACTGTACTAGAGTCTGGCGTTCTGGAGAATAATTGACACAGAAGTAAAATGAATTAACTAACCTTAAAACTGAGCTTTGGCATCCTGATCTTCGGCAACCAGAATCTGCTGAAACACTTGAAAACAGACGGTTGTGGCCTCAGACTGTTCTCACACTTTTCATCTGTGTTTATCTGAGTCTCTGAGGCCGGTTCCTCTGCTTCTGGCTCCTGGAAAGACT